TTTTCATTTTTTATATATATTTAAATTCAAAAATAATAACCAATAACTAATTATAAACTAAATAACAAATTATGCCATGTGGCATTTTTTTAGGTTGCCACTTGGCTTAAGGAGAGGGCTTTTTCCTCTCCTTTTAATAATATATAGATAGATATAGATATAGAAGATATAGATTTTAAACTCCAACTTGAAACTACTTCCCGATTAGAATGGGTAGTTCTTCTCTTTTTTCATTTTTTATAGCTATTTTTTTTTGCCTTTTGTTTTAAAATAATTTAAAAACTCCAACTTGAAACTACTCCCACCCAATTTGAATGGGTAGTTATTTTTTTATATATTTTTTTTCGTTTTTTTATATTTAATTATAAGATATCTATACTTATTACTCCAAATAAAGTAACCAATTAATACATACATACATACATACATATATTAAAAACTATATATGTTCCTTCCACCCAAAACATATTACCAATATTTACTCAAGTAAAAAAGATTATTCTAATTTCAATTTTCATAGACAATAAACATCGGAATAAATTTAGAAAAATGATACTTGGAAAATGTAAAAAGAGTAGACAACACCATACTTAAGCTTTTGATTTTAGAGGCTTGGAAATGGTCGTTGTTCTCATATTTCATTGTTTTTCGAACTAAAATGTGAATAAATAAAATAGCAAATTAATCATTAATAGCGCCGCACTAAAGACTGCGAAATACGCTAGTAAAATACGTTGAGCACAATCTCAAATGAAATTATAGCCTTAGTGATGGCTTCATGACTGAGCAATCTTTTGTAACATTTAGAGAGATAACACAGAATTAAATAATTTGTAGCAAACAACACTTAGTCCTCCAACAAAGATAGACACGATATGACAAAGAATGAACGCAATGGAAAAATGCACCAAGCAATTTATTGAAGGATGTTTCCTCAATAGGTTATGAATTATAGCAACAAATCACTAATATTCCTGAAAGAGAGACGGATAGTGAAAGCCACCTGAGTTTTTTACAAAAAGGAAGCCGCCAAATATTCTGCAAGAAGTGGTGAAAATTTGCCAAATGTTATACCCCATTTTAACACGGGTCAAATCTAGAGTATAACATATTGGTAAATCTGAAGGTTTAATTAGTTAAAAGAGTCGCCACCTAATTATTTCAATGGTGAATTAGGACACCAATTTTAACTAAATAATGCTTAAAGTCAACTCTGTTTTATGATCTGCTTAACCTTAGAGATTATGGGTAAGGGTTCTGATTAATCTTATAGGGAAGGTTATTAAAGCACCCTATATGATCCATTAATTACGGTTAATCGGTCAAACTTAGATTCTTAAGAAAAATAAATCATAATTGGATATTCCAAGTTAGAAAAAAAAACACTACCATATGAGAAAATATATAAATATTGAATATGGATTACTTAGAGGAGTGATGATATCAAAATCGATTTTGTCGTGAGATGGAGTATACAAATTTCCTTTTCTAAAAAAAAATTATCTCTAACGAGGAAAATGGACTTAGACCTCAAGCAT